CACACCATTTGAATTTACAAAGTGACCGATTTGGCAAATGTGCCGGTTATCAAATGTGTGGGTTAATTAATATTTCTTTTAATAAAAATTATATAAAATAAAAATTGTTTTTGTTGAAATTTTTTTTAAAGTAATGAGTCGAGAAAGGTACTGTAGAATTTCGACTACCAAACTTAAACACATCGTGAATGTTTCTATGTTTAAATATCTATTGAATTAACCGAATCCTTTTTCAATTTTTTAGTGTTTGTAATTTTTTTGTAGTAGTAAATTCATTTTATAACAACAATAATTTAAAAAATTTTAATTCCAAAACTGTTTTGGTAGAAAAGAAATCTTTTAAATAAAAATATCAATTTTCAAGTTAAAAAACAAGGTTCCAGCTAAATACGTGTAATAAGGGACAAAATATAAAGATTATTTCATTGATTATTACAATTATTATTTAATTCTTCCATTTTTTTGGAAATATTAAGGATTGTTTTAATTTTTTAAGAATGCGTTGCAGTTAATGGGCTGTTTTATCTTTTAGTTAGAAAAAAAAAATAATTGATGAACCATTGAGCCTTAACATCAAGAAAAAAAAATCATTATTCTTTTAGATTTTTTCTTTGATTAAAAAGTAAATTAAAATACGACAAAATAATGTTTTGATTAGGTACCTAAATTCCACAGTGATATTTTACTTTAAAAAAAATTGCGTCTGTTTTCATAAAATTAACAAGACATGGCACATTAAATTGAAGATTCCACATGACCATTTCCCCCCGCTTTTGTCTTCCATATACTCTTTAGGAATATTGACATTAGCCCCCTTCACCCCTTGTTTGTTGAATGGGTTCCAAAGCAACCAATTTCTGAGAAGAGATACCTCTTGGAAATTCTATTCAATTTCAAACAAGTGGTTTTTCTGCTGCACATTTTTTTCCCCATCTTTGGTAAAGCTTTTCATAGAGAACTTCAACTGTAAAGAAAATTAGTCCAAGAATATAATAATAATAAGAAGAACTTAGAGACATATTTTTCAAGCAAACAATATTTTGAAATAAGAGAGCATTAAATCTGGGTCTAACGTGGCGCTTCGGGCGATCGCCCGCATCTTTCGCCGGCCCTTCTGTAGAAACAATTTTTAGGAGGAGGGTTTGTTGAAAAAAATACCTGAAAACTGAAAGATCCTTCAGATTTTGAAGTTGCTCTTCCTCATCGTAACCATCTTAGAAAGATAGACCAGCGGTCTTGGTATGATGGAATGTTATCAGTAACAAGAATGGGTTCAGAGAAACCGAGTTTCTGAAGTTCCGAAAAAAGATGACAACTTCAGTAACAACCATGAGTCTACAAGTCACAGAGAATGACGAATCTACACTATGGATGAAATGTTGTGCAGAATGGCATGTTGTCAAGGAATAAAATCCCCCCAAAGAATCTTATTTTTGATCAATTGAACAGGTATTAGGATACCTGCAAGCGACGTAGTGTGAGTATCTCGATCTTGATTGGTTGTTGAAACATTTACATTTGTTTACGTTAGCAACTGTTTTTTTTCGTGTAAGCCAAACCCATCAAGTATCAATTCTCTTAAGTGACGCATTCTATATTCTTTCATTAAGATTTTTCTCAAAGATTTCAATTCTTTCACTATATATTTCTTACTTAACACAAAGACAGGGACGATGCCATGGAGAACATAAGAAAACTAGTTGTGCATCGAAGTTGCCAGGTACACAAAACAAAAATATATCACTATTACAATAAAGTACATAAACAGATAATATACCTAAATTAAGAAAAGTCGCGAACGAGAAAGAATTATATTTCAACAAATTCGATGTGTGATACTGCGTTGTACTTAATTAACTTCACACTAAATAACATTCTAACTTATATGAAAAAACTTGACATGACTTTAATATGCCATTTTGTTAATAAGCGATCAGCTGGGGCTGAGGTCACGTGTCTGTGTATCAGAAATTGTCTTCTTTTCAAGTTATACGTACCCAACTTATATAAAGTAATTTTAAATATGTCTTGAATGTGCCTTAGTAATCGTTTATTAACTGATTAGTATTCGTTTAATATTACAAAATAATGATTGCCGTGAAGAATAATGTATAATCTTAGTAGTTCAACGTGACGAACATAAGCTGAATGGTAGGGAGTGAATAAGAAAGATGTGATAACGTCCCTACAAATAAACTGCGCAGTAGGAGAAATGAGAGATGTGTCACAACGTTCGAACGACTGAAAAATCGGATTTCTTGTTTGTGGTAACCAGTGTCGTGGCCTTCTCTCCTCTATGAAGTGTTGATTGAAATCATTGCCGGGAAAACGTTACTGGTAGGAGCATTTGTTGGCGAAAAATCGCCTTTTTCATCGCCAACACAAGAAGCGAAATTTTGGAGCTTTTCTCTGCTTTAAATAAGGATTTCTACAACTTTTTGGTGCGGGGATCCCATAATATTTTCGAATAATTGTCGGGACCCAATAAGCATTGCAGAAATCCCACTTTAACTTTTATTTTTAGACATAAAACGGCGTAGAAATTTTAAGCGAGTAAAGAACTGGAAAATATAATGCAGTTATAAAAATATGTATTTTCTGCTTTCAAATACATTAAATAAAATTTTTTGGTTATTATTATGAGAAGTTCAAGAAATATCAAAATTGCTAAAATTTTTGGCGATCCCTGCTGCAGGTTCTAAGTGGGATCAGAATCTACAGCTTAAAATACTTTGATTTAAATGAAACTTTTTTTCATTGGAATCATCATTGGTATCGGAATCGCTAAAAAAATTAAAAAAAAAAAACTTTCAAAGTATTTTATAAAGAATAGATTTCTTTAAGAATGAAGGATTTTTTTTTTACTTTGAGAGATCATTCCAGGGTACTTCAGGGTTGTATACAAATATCAGAAATTTTGGTCACGCTAGGAGGAGATATTTGAGGAATAATGAAAAAGAAAGGCTTCCCGCAGTGGACTGATCGTAAAGACGCTGTTCCCAGCAGATCAACGAAGTCAAGCATCACTGGCTGCGGTCAGTGTGCGGGTGGGTGACCACTTGGATCACCCTGCGTAGGGACCGAGGGTGTGCGGTATGGGTCCTCGTTAAACTGTTCTACCGTAAAGTGCTCGGTTTCGCGTGAAGGTCGTTGGGCTACCGAAGCAGGGGTGCCATCCCCTCTGCAGAGGATCAAAATTGTGATGGCATGTCTTCGGATCATCCTCAGGGATGCTTCCCAGACCGTCGCCAATAGCTCATTGTGCAGCTCTAGTGTGACGTAAGTGAACTACAACTACAACAACAAAAAAGGAAGGCAAAAAAGAACTCGTTGTGAACTAGTTGCTCAAAGTACTTGTTTTCATAAAAGTGATTTGAATTGATCGTTAACGTTACAATAGTGAGCTAATTATAATATGCAGAAGCAGCAAAAACTACAGAAATACATCACACAAGGAAAAGGAACCATTATTCCTTGATTACGATAGCAATCGAACCCATAACACTTTTAAAAGTTTAAGAGCGTAGTGAAATATAATATCTCTGAAATTGTTGCAATCTTGATGTCGTTAAATGGCAGAGAAGTTAAAGCACTTAGATGTCATTGTGAAGTATTGCGGTTCTGTATTCAGTGACGGCTTTGAATTCATCCAGCTTAGTCGACGGTATACCAGCTTCCCTGACGTGAGGGGTGCCTGTGCACAATGCCGTCGGCATTACCAACATAAATTCTTATAAATTTGTGAGCCTTGACAAAAAATAATAAAAATAATAATATAATAAAAATAATAATAATAATAATAATATAATAAAAATAATAATAAAAATAATATATAATAATAATATCTATGTAAGTAAAAAATAATTATAAAACATACTTGTATAATCCCAGTAACAAATTCACGCATCACTAGCTACGGTCAGAAAACGGGTGGGTTGTAGTTCATTTGCGTCGCACTAGAGATGCACAATGGGCTACTGGCGACGGTCTGGGAAACATCCCTGAGGATGATCCGAATACATACCATCACAGTTTTGATCCTCTGCAGAGGGGGTTGCTACCCCGCTTCGGTAGCTCGACGACCTGAACGTGAAGTCGAGCACTTTACGGCAGAACAATTTAACGAGGACCCATGCCGTACACCCTCGGTCCCTACGCAGATTGATCCAAGTGGTCGCCCACCCTCACACTGACCGTAGCCAGTGAAGCTTGACTTCGGTGATCTGCTGGGAACCGTGTCTTAACGATCAATCCACTGCGGGACAGAAAACGGGTGGGAGACCAATTTGATCAGCCTGTGTAGGGGTCAAGAGTGCGCGGTATCGGTCCTTGTTAAACTGTTGTACTGTGAAGTACTTACTTCGCTCGCAGATCATCGGGCTACCAGAGCAGAGGTGCCTTTCCCTCTGCGGAGGATAAAAATTGTGATGTATCATCTTCCTGCCTCTGGATCACCCTCAGGGATGTTTCCCAAACCGTCGCCAATAGCCCATTGTGAGAGCTGTGTAGGGTTCAGGGGATAAAGAGCTCGCCTTCCAATTCAGTGAACCGGGTTCGATTCCCAGCAATGACTGGTCTATTCGAATTCAGCATCCGGCTCAAACCAACCACAGTGCTGACGTAAAATATCCTCAATGGTAGGCCGATCATGGGTCAGTCGGGCTAACCGTGGGAGGTTTCCGTGGTTTTCCATATATCTCAAATGTGGGTTAGTTTCATCAAAAAGTCCTCCACGAAGGCAAATTTTCCCCAATACTTAATCTAGGAGTTCCCTTGTTTTCTGAATTGGGTTCAAAATTATAAGGCTAAGGAGTAGAACATTGGTAATCGTAAACCCAAAATTGGGTCGGCTATTCAACGACGGTTACAAAACAAACTAGCTCATTGTGCAAACCTAGTGCGACGTAAATAAAGTATCTTACTAGAACCAATGACAAAAATACCATTAACATCGTTTGGTTGTTCTCGTCGCTTTGATCTATCAGCACTAGTACAATACACTCTACGGTAACACGATTTAGATCGGAGGTCAAATAGTGGTATTATACGCATCTTAGCCCTTGAAATATGCATTACACCCTCTAGCCACCAAAAAGTATTTAGATAAAAACAAAAAATTGTAAATTCTCAGCCAAAAGCAAACATTATTTTTTCCTCTTTTTTATGCATAATATCCGCTTAGTTAGTTTAGAGGAACGTTGAAGTCTGAAAAAAAAAACACTATTTGCCTTTTAAAATATAACTCCTTTGTTTCACACTTAGACGTTCTATCTTTAGGTAATCAAAATACTCTAATACTTTATTTTCTCAAAATCACTAATCTCAGTCACGAATTATCTCGTAGGTAATACTCTTTTGATTTTACCGATAGTTTGTTTTCTGTCGGTATGATTTTGCATCTTTATCAGTAGTGTGACTGCTCTCGAAAATTTCTTCATCGAGTGTTAAATATTGGCAGTTTTTGGAAGAGAAGAATCTACTTCATTGTGTAGATAAGATTTTAGATATTTAGTAGATTTCTTTTGTGTTTCAGTTGGCGATTACGACCTTTGCAAATGACCGAGTGGAAAATGTGCCGTGCGCAAACTTTGGTTTTGCTATGCCTAATTTGCACTGATTTCAAATTATCGACAACTTATCTGTTTGGAGATTGATTTATGACAGTCAGAGGTAATATATATATCTATGTTAATTAGATTTTATGATTAATAACTATAAATATTAGCTTTTGTTTCCTATGTACGAGGTTTATATTTTGTTTCATACGAGGTATATAAGAAAAATTAAGGCTTATATTTTCAATCGCACACACTATATTCTTAGAAATGTGTTTTTATGCTAGATAATATTGCTGTAATTCATATTTTTGTTGTTGGTCAAAATTAAAAACTAAACAATTTACTTAGTTTAAAAATATTGGTTTTTGCGTCATATGAGGCGTATAAGAAAAATTAGGGTTAATATTTTCAACCGCACATGGTATGTTCTTAGAAATGTGTTTTTATTCCAGATAATATTTATGTAATTCATATTTTTGTTGCTGGTCAAAATTAATAACTATACAATTAGCTCTGTAATGTATTTTGAATGCTATAGTAATCAAATAAAAAATATCAGTACCTGATATACTTCTTAATCCCATGTTGTCAACTTTGTTGCGTTTAAAGTGTCTGCATGTTTAGAAGTCTTGTTTGCAAACAGTTATTTAACTCTATTTTTAAAAAACTAAATTTTGTGTTGTTCTATTTATTAATAATGCTTCAGTTTTATACGATATAATATATCCCGTAATAATCCAATAGCAATTCATTGATTTATGCGGTTTATAAGAAAATGTAATTGTAATTCAGCTACTGAAATAGTTATTAAACAATTATTTCAAACTTATTAAACAATTATTTAATACGTTTTTTTCTATAATGGTGAATATTGATCCAAATCCTCCTTCTATTGTTAATTTTACTAAATTAATAATCTTTTGATGTAGTAACATTTGATGAGGGTTACAAGAATATAATAACAATTCAGTTGCTGATAGCATTCATAAAAGCATGTAAAATAACGAAAGATAATTCTGTAGCTGATATAACTTTAATCACACGTTTCATGTTTATCATTTCTGTTGTGTGTAGTAGGTCTGCATGTTTAGATGCTTTTGTTTTTAAATTATTATTTAGAATAATTTGTATTTGTCTAGATAATTTATTTTAAGTGCAAGTTTGCCTTGTTTTATTTCAAATTTTAATTTGAAAAAAAAAAGTACTGTTATGTGTAATATTGAATCGTTTACGATTGATTGATTTTTTCATAAAAAATACTAATCGTTTTGAATTATAAAACGTTTTTAAAAAACGAACAGGAAACAAAAATCAGAAAACTTGTTTTCGAATAAATTTTCTCCTAAGCTAGTCAATGCACGTTAAACACTAACATTAAAAAAAAGCAAAGCAATCCATCAAAAATCAGTTGTGGGCAAAGTGTTTATGCAGCTAAAGGCTGTATAATTTCAAAACAATTCAGTACAGATTTAGAATAAGATTTGGATTAAAGATTGGGATTAAATATTAGGATAATGGACAGGTGAAGTTTCTTCGAAAATATTGTTTTAAAATGATAGAAACTCTGGGATTTATTGTTTACCTGTTCTTAATCCTTAAACAGAACTGCTGCTATTGATGCAGCAACAGGTGGAAATAGACTGATATGAAAATAATGCTGTTTCTAGATTTTCAAAACAGACAAAAAACATTGGAGTAGTTTTTTTTCTGTAACAAGACTTGTAGTTTAAAGTTTAAAAAAAAAGTTATGACGCAAAGTAACATTGTGAAACCTAATATTTATACGCAAGAAAAGTTGAGAACTTAGAAATTCGATAGAAGAAAAAAAATTATACTTTGCTGATTTTTGTTATATTAAAAATATAATTTCATTCATGCTATAAAAAGCGATTTACTTCCATATTAAAATTTTTTTTTAAATTTCTTGTTTGTAACTTTTAAAATCTCAAAAACAATTTTAATAGCATCTACTTAATTAGTTCATAACCACTCGTGATTTTCAGAGTAATTTTTACAATGATTACATGATTCGCAATTCCGTTGAACTGCAGGCTCAAATTTATATTTTTTAATGATTCCAAAAAGAATAGCTTGCAGAGCAATTTACGGATGCCATATATAATTTCAAATTCTTAGATCATTTTTTATTGATTAGTATTTGCGTGCTTTGGAGCTATAGAGAAATATACATGGCTATGTTTTGTTCGAATCTTTATAAAGAACAAATTTGATTGTCCACTGAAACTTGGAACTGTCTGTAAGAATCCCGTTTTTTCTCTTCTATGGCCCTAGGTGGACTGATCATAATATCGATACCACACGAGAGAAAAATATGAGCAACCATAAGCGCAACCTCCACTCTATCCACAACTCTAAAGGCAATTTCGCAGCTCGGAATTGCCGATAGGATTGCTTAATTACCCAAACGGTTGCTCGTAATAGGATTACCATTTTGTTACTTCTCTTAACTTTTGGTTAATATTATTTTTTCATGTGATGCTAGTATGTCATATTTTCTCAACGATGCTTGTAAACGAAGGAAAAATAAATCACAGATGTTCTAGAATTGATACACGTTTAATTTTATGTATTAACTTAATTTTTTTATCGTGTCCATGGACAATTAAATGGCCTCGTGTGCCTTCAAAACTGCAACCGCAAGCTCCAATACACCATTACTGTAGGGGTGCGAAGTTCTGAAGCCAGTGGCACCATACCCAGTTGTAAAACATATGGGGTAAGGGCTGGGCACTCCGGGGTTAACTTAATTTAATGTATTAACTCAAAATTTCCTCCGATCATCCTCTTTACGAACGAATTCAAATAATCTTCTGTCTGCCCGAAGTCATCGGTTCGGGGCTTCTCATAGTCATCCACTGAACCAACAGTTATTTCACATCCCTGTCAATTATGGTAATTACACCTAATAACTACAAAACATTAATATGAAACATTTTTTTAGTTTTCCTCTTTATCTGATAAAGAACATTTGATCGAAATTTGAGACATCTATTTTTTGAGCAACTTTTAAGTAGCATGACTTTTAGTTAGAGTAATTACCCCGATTATTACCAAATAACGAAATGAAATTTTTCAGTTCTTTCTTTTATCTTATGTAGAACACACTATCCAAATTTGAGACTTCTTTCTTGGTGCAATCTTGTTATTTAGCATTACTGTCAATCAGACAAATTACACTCGAATTACCCCGATAATTACAAAATATATTAACGAATTTTTTTTAAGTTTCTCGAAGATTGAGGCTTCTATCTTTGTGGCCAAACTAAAACGTGCTATTTAATATTACTAATAATCAGGGTAATAACCCCATAATTACTCCTCCGTTGTTCCCCGTTGAAATTTGAGGCTCCTATTTTGATAAAAACGTAAATTAAACTTTAAAATTTCAATGCTGAAAATTTACCACATGAATAATATTTTTCACCTTCAGAAAATGCGTCTTCTAAAAAATCCCATTTTTATGTTATTTCCCGATCATATCAATTATTTAAGCAAAAAATAATACATATGAAAAGCATTTTTACGGTTTCAAATTATGAATTTAGTGTAATTTTATGCCAAATTTAAAATTCAATTTAATTAATAATTGCCCCAAAGGTTTTTCCTTGAAGTAAATAGAGGTTCCACAGCCACGAGGTGTTTTTAGGATCTTCTTTTTTTTAAATTTAACGCGATTTATTATCTACACTTTTTATAAACATTTTGATTTGTTATATATTTTCAAGGAGGAAATATTTGCGTTTGGCGTGGTGCATTCGCTTTTGGCGCTGAAATCATGAAATTATATTTTGACTTTGCAGGACTTCGACTAATACTTTAAGGGTGTCCAACACATACATGATGAAATATATGGAGCTGAATTTTAATATCCTAAGTTACAATGTTGTTGTAGTTCTAGTTCATTTACGTCGCACTAGAGCTGCACAATGGGCTATTGGCGACGGTCTGGAAAATATCCCTGAGGATGATCCGAAAACATGCCATCGCAATTTTGATTCTCTACAGAGGGGATGGCACCCCCACTTCGGTAGCCCAACGACCTATGCGCGAAGTCGAGCACTTTTATGGTAGAACAGGTTAACGAGGACCGATACCGCACTCCCTCGGTCCGTACGCAGACAGATCCAAGTGGTCACCCACCTGCACACTGGCCGAAGCCAGTGATGCTTGACTTCGGTGATCTGCTGGTAACCGTGTCTTAACGATCAGTCCACTACGGAACCCTAAGTTACAGTGACTAATATACATTAATTGAAAGGATTAATGTTGATATACAGCCTAAATTACCAGTGCTTTAAACGGTATCAAAAATTAAAAGTGACAGAAAAATTTCTTATCAGCTTATATACATTTTGATTCCCTGATAATATACAATTCAATAATATCATTCCAAACTATGATACCATACTCACCAAAAACTACAGAATTTCAGTTATTTTTGAATTTTTTTTTTTCTGGTAGCAGCGATTATAATGTATTAATGTTTTAATAAAGTAGAATTAGCAGAATTCTGTCTACCACTACATATAAATGCTTAAACAGATAAATGAATGGTCATGCAGATTAATTGTTTGCTCTTAGCTCTAAGGAACGTCGTAGAAAAATTTATCCAGTTTTAGAAAAATTCTACTTCATTTCCTGACCATACAAAAAATATTGAGCTCAAACCTCAAAGGTTGGAGGGTATGCGCAATAACTTATATCTACAAGTGTGAGGGTAGCCCAAATGAAAGTGGTATTCCTGTAATATATCCGCGATTTGAAGAAAAAGATGTCTACGCATGCCCCTATAGAGGGCGCAGAGTGCTGGGAATGCATGCGATATCGTTTGTATCATGGTTGCCTCCAAATGGTGTCAACAGGCTATCGTCTAATTTTTAACAGCGGAAAATGTGAGTGATATCTATCGTCAAATATGTATGGCACGGAGTGCATATTTCGCAGATCGGCATTCCGATGGTGTATGTATTTTCGTAGTGGAAAAAAACCGTACTGACAACATGTCACGACTTGTTCAAGCTCATTTGGTTATCATCGAAGAAGCAGTTGCAGGTGTAGACCGTCTCGTGAGAAATAATCGATTCTCCCCTCGAGGTATAGCAAAGTACAATGGGTGCCGAGACATTTAAGAGATGAGCCTAAGATTCATCGCATGTGCTTTTCCATGCAACACCTTACACGGTGCCACGAAGTTGGGAACCAATTCCTTTCAAGAATCATTAACGCTGATGAAACAGGATGATGCAGCTCTGATCCAGCTTCGAAAAGTATGAGCATGGAATAGCGACATACTTCATTCCCACTGTCGAAGAGGGCTCATTCGTAGACTAGAGTTGGTAAAGTCATTGCATGAACTGAGAAGGAGTATCAAGAACTGCCAACTTGGCATGTTGTCACTCAGGGTTCACCTTTTGCATCATAATGGTCATTCTTATGTGGTCAAACATTACTAGATTATTCCGCTGAGAGGTTCTCAAACTCACACAGTCTGTGGACCTCTCGTCGTGTGACTACCACATCTTCGGTCCATTGAAGAAAGCTCTGAAAGGACGAATATTTGCAGACGATAATGATGTCAAAACTGCTGCGGTCGAGAATTGGTTCCACAATCAACCCCAGAACTTTTTTATCCAGGGTATCCATCTCGTGGAGCGTTAACACTGTAACTACGTTAAGACATACTTCGAAAGAGGATGGAATTATTTTTTAATAAATTTCTCAATCAATTTCTCTTGCAATTTTTGTTTAACTAAATGCAATAGATAATGATAGAAATTGTCCACTTTAACCACAAGTGTCAACTATTTTTACTCTCAAATTTTGCCAATACTTAAAAGTTTTTTTACTCTACTCGCAGGTTTTAAATATTTGCGCAAATTGATCATTTATAATGGTAATCAGAATCATTGTAACTCAAAATCTTTTCTACAAGAAATAAAATAGTAAATTTTAAAATTTTGTACAACTTTAAATAAAAAAACTCCCCATTTTAAACAAGAGAAGTTACAAATGCAAAAATTAACACCTTGAATTTTATGTTTAAAAATAGAGATATTTCAGGGAGAACACATACAATTACGGTATTTTTATTATTTTATAAGGACTTAAATATGAATGTAATAATATGAATGTCATGAATATTTTTTAAACTTCGATGGAAAGCTATTTTCCACCTATAATTTGTGCTGCCATCTGCTGATAACTTCAGAAAATACAAAATTTCCATTTTGTATTTTCTGTATGAGCTCCTTCCTATTATAAGTTATGTGTCAGTTCATTTATTCATTTCTCATCAAGTTATAAACACCGCATTTAAAAATTCGGTTATTTTATAAGTAAAGAAGTTCAAATTTGTGGTCATTTTTTACAGTAGGTAAAATTGTGAAAATTTCGCCATCCACCTTTCCACCACTAAAAAAGTTTTTTCCTAAAAATAATTATTGGAGATTAGGGTCGTAGATTATTGTATCGTAGATCAATATTCACAGAATCACAGTATAGATCAGTATCACAGTAAAGATCATAGTAGGATCGTAGTAAAGATAATAGTATAATTTTGGAAATTCCACCCCGATTATCGTAAGATTTTCAGATGAGATTATCATAGGATCGCGTAAAAAATCCCACAATCTACCTTTCCACAAAAAGAAAAACGATCTTAAGAATAATTATTGTAGATTAGTATATCGTTGATTGTAGTATCGTAAATCACAGTAAACATTATCTTACGGTCAAAAAGTGAGGCCAACACTGGGGAGTTACTTTCTGTTATAAGTTATATATTCTTTCACTTAATCTTCTCTCATAGAGCTTATTTATAGTGATAAACACAGAATTGAGAAATCTGGTTATTTATAAGCCCATAATTCAAATTTATGGTCATTCTTTACATTGGGAAAAATGTTGAAAAACCCATCCACCTTTCCACAAAAAAAGTTTTAAAAATAATTATCGTAGACTGCAGTAAAAATTATCATGGGATCGTAAAATTTTGAAAATACAGCCCCGATTATCGTTAAACTTCGAAAATCCCGACATCTACCTTTCCATAGAAAAATGATCCTTAAAATTATCGTATGTCATGCATTATTGTAACGTAGATCGTTGGAAAGATTATCGTATTAAAGATAATCGTAAAATTCTGAAAATCCCACCATCCACCTTTTCAAAGTAAATAAATAAAAATTTGGTCCTAAAATAATTATCATAGATTAGTATCGTAGATTACTATCTCGTAGATTACAGTATCCTCGATCACCATAAAGATTATCGTAAGGTCAAAAAGCGATGTCAACTCTGGGGAGCTACTTTCTGTTACAAATTGTGTTCGCTTTTCGTCGAGTTTATTTAGAGTTATAAGCACAGAATTTTAAACTTTGGTTATTTATAAGCGCAGAATTCAAATTTATGGTCATTCTTTTCATTAGGTAAAATTTTGAAAAATCCTTCTAACTTCTCACAAAAAAAAAATTGTTTAAGATTTATTTTAAAACCATCGTTGAACGCCTGACCCAATTTTTTTTTGGTTTACGACTGACAGTGCTGAACTCCGTAGCCTTGTAATATTTTGAACCTTATCTAGAAGACAATTAAGCTCCTGGATCAAGTATTGGGAGAAATTTGCCTTTGAACAGTACTTTTTGTTAAAACTAACCCGCATTTACGTTACAAGGAGAAGAAAACTTTCTATGGTTAGTCTAACGTCAAGGGGACTTGATCGAACTCTGATCTGTCAATTATTGCGGATACTTTACGTTAGCAGTGTGGTCGGTGCGAGCCGGGTGCGGAATTTGAATCGACGAACCATCGATGGGATTCGAACCCGGGTCATTTAATTCGAATGCGAGTACTCTATCCCCTGAGTCACCACAGCTCAGCTAAGATTAATTTCCGATAGTCAGCTAAATGAATTTTATTTTAGAAATCAATCTCAATCCTAAAATTATATTAACATAACTTAATTAGAAAGAAATTGTCCTACAAAAGGTTTGCTGACATTTAGAATATAAATAATTGTTTCGTTTTATGCGAATTTTTGTAAGGTTTTGAAAGAAAACATATTTGAGTCCACTAAGTGTAGCTGTTCCTTTTAAGCAAGCACTGCAACAGATTCAAGAATTATTATACACAAAAAGATGTGAAAATTCATTCTCTTCAAATACGTATGATGGGCAAAAATTGCGCAAGTCAACAAATTGCAAACTGCGTTTTAGTAGGGAAATGAGATGTCAGAATTTATGAATGGTTCTTTTTTGTCATTTCCTTTCGTAGGGAAGACGTCTTGGATTGTATATCTGAAACATGGAGGTGTGTAATTATTATTGTTTTATTCTTGACGAAATTATGAGATTGTTAATAAATATTATTTTCTCTATGCGTAATAAATATTATATTATATTACGCAAAACTGCAAGTAATTTTTATTTTGCTCTAAACTTCAAAATTGCAAAATTTTATTTCAAATTTTAAAATTAAACTTGAAATTATCTGATGAAAGATTTTTAAACTTTTTTTTATTAATTTTTAGAGAGTTTAAATGAATATATTATAAATATGGTATATATGCTTAAACATTTTGACTTTGTTATAATAATCACAAAATCTTCTATTTAAATTTTTTTTTAATCCTTTACGCAGATGGGTCACCGGTGTCTCTTTTATGTAAGGTTTTTTAATATATATTTATATTAAAAAAATTACATAAATATATTTAAAGATATTTAAATATATTTATATAATATATTAGTAATATATTTAAATTACATAAAAAAATTGCAAAAATATATTTAAGTAATTTTAATTATAATGAAACAGCCTAATAGTTACAATATAAATTTTTTAGATTATTGAAATTATGTTTGAACTAAAATATAAATTCCAAGAAAGTAGTTTTAATTTGTTTTTTCATTCAAATTTAAAAAAAATTTTGAACAATTTATTTTTTAAATTAAAAAAATTTCAAGGTTCCATAACTGTTTCTCTTAGATATAAGCTACTGCAAATAAGTGCAAATTTGAAACAAATATTGCTTGGCAGTGAGTCGTGTTTGGAAGATTTTACTTTTAATGCTGGAAAATACACCGGTGTTTCATGCTATATTTCCTAACCATAAATATTAAAATGCTAAATATGATATTTTTCATTTATTTTGACCTAAATAATTACAAAATAATGAAGAAAATATAGATAATATATTTAATAAAACTTCTGTGTCAAAATGTAATGGTGCAAGACGTTTGTTGAAATATGTAAGAAAAATACAATGAGTTTTATCAATATTACAAAATTGTACTATAATTTCTTTTGTTCATAATTTTGCTGACTGTTATTCGTTAATTTGCCGTTAATATTTCGTTAGTTTTAAGACCATTTTGATGTTAGCAGTGCTGGTATTTACATTATATTGTAGATTAACATTTCAAAATACTTTATCAATAGAAGTTTTAACTATTACATTAGTTTCATTTCTAAATGTTAGTTTCTAATACATTCTCAAATTTGGCCACAATTTATTTTATTGACATGTTTATGAAATATTAATCTTAGTTTAAAGAAAATTACTTTGCTTTGGAAAGTTACGTAAAATTATTTTTTGAAAACCCTGAAATCCTGGTACCAAACTAACATTGATATTTGTGAACCAATTATTAGTTAGAATCTTAAATACTAATTCTCCGTACTTAGTTTAAAATTACAATTTTTCAAAAATATTAATAAATATATTTAGTAGATCAAATATTTATATCTCGTAAAATTCATAAGCAGAAATTCGTGTTTATTTTTTAATTTCATCGTTTTGATACTTATATACTTTATGCTAAATTTTTTTTAGCAAACAGAAACTAGGCACAACAGGTATGAAAGATCTTATAGTTAAAGAATATTACGTATATTTTTGTATTACAATTGTTTTAAAAAGTGCTTTTTAGAAATTCACCTTACTATCTTTTTATTCCGAAGTAAGTAATATTTTAAAATTTCTGTTGGAATTAAGCATATCGTTAAGATCTTTAATCGTCAGATATATTTGAAGAAAAACATCAATATTCATGGAAATTGAACTCTTTGGTTATCAATAAGTGTGAGAAAAATACTATTCTTGACGCCTATAGATCATCTGGGTCTCAGATGTTAGAAAAGAAGATAAAGTTTGATTTTGCGTCATTAGATTTTCTCGTTTCAATTTCTTTTCTCGCTTGTGTTCGATACGAACGCATCAACCAACTCATATTTCATTTTTTTCGTCGAAAAATATTCAGGCCTAAATAAGAAACGATTATGATTCTATAGAATAAACCTTTGCTGGATTCTATAAGTTTAAAATACTACACTGCACTGTAAGTTTTACTTCATTAATTTAGTAATTTTTAAAAAAAAATTGCTTTGATTAAGGCTATTACCACTTTGTTTTCTATGTCTAATATTTATTGTCATATGTCTAATATTTATTGTCATATGTCATTGTAATATTTATGTTTCATATTTATTGTCTATTGCATTTCTCTAAGCATAAAAATGTACACACCGTAATGGATATTTGTTTAACAGAACTGAAAATTTAAAAAATAAACTAATTAGAATTTATATATTTTTCGTCTCAATGCTGCTTATAAGATTGTATCTTATTAAGGAAATACATGAAAAGTTTTGAAGTTGTTGCTTTTTACTTGATTTAAAAACCTCATTCGCTTGAAAATTATATAAACTAAAAATTACGGTCAACATGTTTCGAGCCCTCAAAAATAGGCGCCCGTTTTCAAGATTTACCAGACATGAATGAGGAGAAACAATAGTGATATGAAATATAAAACGAACGGTTGGCTACGACAAATTAAAAATATAGGTGATAAACAAAATTGGTTATTTATTGTTTCCCAATTACAAAGTAAAATATTTCCTGTTGTTGATAGTATTTTTATAGACTCAGATATTATTAGACCGTAATTAATTTCTACAGGAATAATCATTGAAGGATTTTTTAGCAAATTTTACTTTTTAAGTGGTAATAGTTATAAATTTTAATTTATTCGAAATTTAATTAGCGTGAGATTTTAGTTTGTTGCTCGAATATATTCTATTCAGTCATCAAATAAACAGATCGTCATATTTAAGTGTAGAAACAAACTCAATATACGGAAAGTCAGTCGATTAATATACTGTCGTGACATAGTATTATATCTAAGTTTCCTATTGTATTTTTCTTTCCATTAAAAATCATATTCCAATCTTTTATCTTTGTTAAACTAATGCTTAAATTGTTTTGTTTAAATTTTATTATATATAAGAGCTTAAACTATTGCAAATAAAAAACTGTTTTGATTTTGGTCATCAATAATAAAGTTTAAATTTTCTGGTGTTTTAGAAGAGTATACGTGTCACGAAAAAACTTTTAAAACTTAGCTTAAAATTCTTAAAACTTTTAAAACTTAGCTTAAACTTAGCTTAACTTTTAAAACTTAGCTTAGATAAAAATATTTATCATGTAATATTTTAACCTACTAGTGGGATGTGCCCCCTGCTCGCTAACGCTCGCCAACCCCCGAAAATTGCTACGCAATCTTATATGGTTCGCTTCGCAAACCAAGCTCACTTCGCTCGTTACTAACTTAGGTCCATTGCAAATGCACAAAATTCTAAGAATTCAAAACAATCATTCAAATCCATATAACAACTTTTTTTTTAAAAAAAAATTACATCTTTTTAGTAAATACTAAGTCATTAAAATAAATTTGAATTCAAATAAATGACATGTAATTCGTTAAACCTATTAGAAATGTGCTATAGTATAATTCGTGATATAAATCAAAAATCGTCAAATAAATTCGTAATATATAAATTCGTGAAAAAAAGCGCTTTCGACAAAATACTAAAATAGAGATCTATCGACAAAGACTACTCACTTCTGCCTAGCTTAATAGTATGAGATTGCCGCAGCTGATGCTCTCTGGTTATTTCAGTTTCCGTTTTTAAAAGCGCTATATGTTGAGCCACCTCAGCTAGATTTGGCATGTGACATTTTTAGCGGCAATCATTGGTCGATTCGCCGTGTAAGAGAAATAGTAACGTAAACAAAACAAAGCAAACGTTGCCACCGGCGGAAAAAAAATACAGCCAAAATTTGGGAGCCACGTAAGAGAATTATATATATTAGATTATGATAACAAATATTACTGTTATAGTATAACTGTTATTAATTATCTGAACAAATCTTGAGTAAAAACGAAACTTTTTTTCAGAAAAGCTGCTAATTAATTTTATGTTTTGATAATTTGATAAGTATGATTTTTTTTAAAAAATTGAACTATATCCCTTAAATCTCACCGAATAGGATTCATTCAACAAAATAATATGGCCTGCACGATCAAATGTTTAATTAACACTTTAATTTAACACGCCAACACGATCAATTATTTTTTTAATTGATATAATGTCTCGGTGATAGTTGAAAATCCGTTTTGCATTAAAAGAAATAAAAACCAATGTAAAATGAATTATGAAAATTGCCTTTAATATTTTCTCAAAAGTATTTGACTTTAAAGAGAAAAAAATAATTAACTCATTTTTGAAATAATAAATTATAGATAGCAGGTAAAACATTTATCTTTCACTTTCTCTTTTCAAATCTGGACGTGATAAGTATTTGATAATTAGAGTATTTAATTGATTAGAAAAAAAACTAACCCTCAGTAAGTTTTGGAACAAAGTTGTTACAAAGTCGTAGATGATATCGATATTTCTAAAATTATAGAATATATTTCATCGGTCACGTTGTCGTTTCTATATTTTTGATACATCAAAAACCCTTGGCTGTCTGAGTTTCGAACGATGAAATGAGTTAATTGTGGAATATATTTAGGATAAGTTGTAAATCAAGAACGTTTATTTACCATCATATAAATGCAATTTCCACAACCCTGAGATAATATTTCACCACCTATTTTCTAAAATCCTTTAGAATGATTGCATTGTTTGTATATAGATGCGAGATTGTTCCTGTTGCACCCGTTTTAGTTCAGAACACCGTTTGACAAACTTACCCAAATTACCCATAATTTAGCAGATTTTGATTGTGTCCATTGAACTCCATATTCAACTAAAATTTTGTTTAGTAAACAGTTTTTTTAGGTTATTAGATAAGGAAAACGTGGCACATGCAAGAGAAATATTTAAAAAAAAATTTCAATTTTCGAAACCATCAATGGGTTAATATTTCATTATTGCTTAAAATTCAAAGTCATGTTTTATATTATGAAGCAAGAATAAATAACAAGGTACCCCAAAATTCAAGCAAGAAACAATTTTGCTAG